TGCTAGAACATGGGTGAAACTCAGGGCTGGGGATTTAGCTCAGCAGCATAAGCGCCTGCCTTGCAAGCATGTGGTCGTGAGTTTGATCCCTGGTACCTGTAAAAATACAAAAAAAAAAAAAAAAAAAAAAAAAAAAAGAACATGGGTGAAACTTGAGGACATCACACTAACTGAAATAACCCAGCCTCCAAAGGACCAGCATTACACGGCTGAGTTTCCATCAGGGTCTAATGGAGGAGACAACGTATTGGACAGCATATCTGTCCTTTTCAGACCCAGGGGGCTATGCCTGTTAGGCCAGTGCTCTCTCATTGTGTGAGCTCCCCAGCCCTTCTGCAAGGTGCTCAGCGTGATCAAATCTGTGGAGAACACATGGAGCAAGCTGGAGGCAGGGTGAATGGGTCACTGTTTAATGGACACAGAGTTCAGTGTGAGAAGACGGAAAGGTTTTGGAGACTGTGAATGTACTTACACAACCACAGTGCACATTTTCAAGGGGAAGGTGGCAATTTTTGTGAGGTCATTGGGATGTGGCCTAAAGGGGGTCTTATGATCCCGGCCCTTCTTCTCCCTCCTTGCCTCCTAACTGCTGTGAGGGGCACAGGCTTTCCCAAAGATACACCCTCATCATCATGCATTGTGTCAAAACAGGCACAAAACAAGGCCAAGTGACCAGACTGAAACTCTTGAAATCGTGAACTAACATAAACCTTTCCTGCTTGCATGTTGATGATTTCAGGTATTTTGTTAGAGTAACAGAAAGCTGACACAGCATCCAAATTTTTCCCTTAAGTAAACAGTTGCCCTTGAGCATTCTCAGTCTTGTGATTCAAGTAGAGGAGAAAAGCAGCGCCTCTGTACTGCACTCCCAACAAGTCAGGTAGTCCTACCACCACCCGAACACTTCTTAATGAGAACAGGGAGGTAGAACGGGGTGGTTATGGCTGTCAGGAAGCTGCGAAAAGGTGCCTGACCCCCAGGTTGGCCTCTGTCCTTAGGAGACTCATGTTGTTTTCAGGGCTGCACCCCAAGGCTGACAGAGTAGTAACAGGACAAGCCCCCCGCGACCCTCCCTTGCACAAGAGACTCCACGTGTGACAGATGGGAGAAAGTGGGCACTGACTTCCGTACCCATGCTCCTTCTCCATGTAGCTTTGCATCTCAAACCCTTCAGTCGCTTTGAACCTGGACAGAACTGTGACAGTCCAGTATGGCGGAGCATGGGGTTCTGGCAGTGTCTTAGGAGCCCGCAGAGCTGCTGCGCCACGTCTTGCTCCCAAGGATGCCAGGAAAGGGAGGCCCCCGACAGCCCCCTTGGGTCCTCGAGACCCACAGAGGCAGCAGCTTAGTGCCCGCTGGCACCAGCTGCGCTGGGTAAGGAAGATCTCCCGAGTGACTGCACTGCTGGTGTTCTCCTGCTCCGGTAACAGATGGCTTAAACTAGCACAGGTTTAAGGCCTCAGAAGGCTGAGTCAGGAGAAACACTGTGAGTTCAATGCCAGCTTATACTACATAGAGAGATCTTGTCTCAAAAACAAACAAACAAATGAAAAGCAAGCATTTATTATTTCAAGGGGTGATGAGACTCTGGTTTTCTGGGTGAACCGAGATGTCAGCAGGGCTGTGGTGTCTGAACTCCTTCGGTCATGGTTCTTTCCTCTAATTCAGAGCCAGCAACTTTGGGCTGAGTTGCTTTTTGTGTTTCAAATGTCTTCTTCTACCTCTTCTTGCCTCTACTTTCCTCTCCAATATTTTATTTTATTTTAGAGACAGGATCTCACTATGCAGTTCAGGCTGGCCTTGAACTCACCCTGTAGTATATACTGCCCTCAAAGTCACATAACCCTCCTGCCTCAGCCTCCCAAGCGCTTGGATCATAGGTATGCACCATCATGCCTGGCTCTGATGCTATCATCTTGCTGGTAAATTGTATATTAGAAACTGGCTGTGGTGCCAAATGGGTCCCTTCTGGCTGCCAGTGCTCCTGCAAATGTTGGGCACATCAACATTTGAGAGGAAAAATTTTTTTTCTTTTTTTGAGACAGGGTCTCGCTGTGCAGTTTGAACTAACTCTGTAGCTCAGGCTGGTCCCAAAACTCACAAGGATCTTTCTGCCTCAGCTGGAATTACAGGTGTGCACCACCACACCCAGCGGTTTTATTTGTTGAAAAGGTAAAATCCACAAGGTCAGGGCAGTAAGACAAACTTACACTCCGCTCTTTGGTCTCTCATCAGATCCTATCTGTCAGAGCTGGAACAGCTTCGGGACACAGCATGGGCCCAGCTCAGTGCCCACTGGGGTGGGAGGGAAGGCACTGGGTGCAACAGCCCAGCACTATGAGGTCCCAGAGGCCCTGGCTGCCAGGAGCCTGGCATTGTGCCAGTTTTGCTGGCTGGTGGCCCAGCCGGAGTCACTTGGCACAAGTCCACACAATCGGCATCCACAAAGCCACTTTCTCATTTGTGCCTTGTAAGAAAGAAGCCCAGGAGGGAAGGCAGTTTCCCTAGCCTGCCACCTCCCCAGCTACCCCCTGGGATGAGGGGAGGAGGTAGTGCTGGGGGCTGTGCCTGGGACAGAGCAGGGTGTGGGGCACAGGGTGCAGGGGGAGCGTCCCTGAGATACTCAGCAGCGGTTTACAGTTCTGCAGTGCAGCAGCCTTTGGGTGGGGGAGCAGGTTTCAAATGCGCAGACAGTTTGGTGCTGCTCATGAGCCTTGGCAAAAGAGCCCCCACCAGAGCCCTAGGGGGAGCAGGGACCCCTCTTCTCCAGTGAATCAGACTGTGAGGTGTGGGTTACAGAAGCCTCGGGGGCTGGGACCATCTCAAGGGAGAATGCAAGCGCTTCTCACCAAAAGCTTGGTTGGGTCTCAGTGGCTCAGAATCCAACGGAGGCTGAGCTGGTGCATTTCATTTAGGAATATCCTGGAGCCAGGTGTGGTGGTGCATACGTGTAATCCCAGCACCAGGGAGGCTGAGACAAGAAGATCACCGAGAGTTTGAGGCCAGCCTGGGCTGAATAGTGAGGATGTATTGGAAAGCGATGGCTTTTGAGTTTGATGTTTGTGGGACCAACTCATGCAGACTGATATTCCTGCCACTACCGGCTGTCATGGAAGATGTCCTATCCAAGTGAAGGGGAAAGAATTGTCCAAGAGGTCATTGAGTCCTCTTGGATCTTACCAAAGAGAATGATGCTTCTCACCTTTCTTTTTTTAATATTAATTTTTTTGTTGTTTGTTTTTTTGAGATAGAATCTCACTATGAAGTTCAGGCTGGCCTTGGGCTCACTTCGTAGCTCAGGCTAGTCTCAAACTTGCAACAATCCTGCCTCAGCCTCCCGAATGCTGGGATTACAGGCATGCACCACCACACCCAGATTTTAGATTAGTTTTTTTCAGGTTTTAGTTATTTTTATTATTAGTAGTGTGTGGTACAGTACATAACCCTTACAGTCCTCACCGGAGTTGGTGCATGTGCAGAGCATGTCTTAACTCTTTTTGTCATCCCTCTTTCCTCCCTTTTCTCCCCCCTCCCTCCATCTCTTGATCTCCTTTCCCTTTGAGAAAGCCCTACTCCCTACTTCCTGTTATCCATCTTTATTTTCTTCTTTAATCTTTGGGTTTCTCATATAAGAGAAACCATGTGATAGTTAAGCTTCTGTTCTCCTTTATTGCACTTAATCTAAAGGGTCTCATGGTGCATCCATTGTTCTGTAAGTGACTCATGTTTATCTATCTTTTTTTTTTTTTTTGTCTTTTTCCTTTTTATCGGTACCGGGGATCAAACTCATGACTGCCTGCTTGCAAGGCAGGCGCTTACCCACTCCTAGGTGTGGCTGAGCACGCCTGTAATGCCGCTGAGCTAAATCCCCATCCCTTGTTTATCTATCTTCATGGCAGAGTCATACTCCTGTATGTGTAAATACCACATTTTCTTTATCCATTCATCTGTTGATGGGCATCCAAGATTCAGCCATTATGAGCTGTGCTGCTATCAGGTTTTGTTTGTTTGTTTTATTTTTGAGATGGGGCTCGATGTGTAGTCCAGGCTGACCTAGAATTCTCTGGGGCCCTTTTAGTTTAGCCTCCCACATGCTGGGATTATGGGCATGCTCAACCCACCTAGGAGGGGGTAAGTTTCCTAAACCATGACCCTTGTCAGGTGACTCCTTGCTCCCTGGCGTCCCCTTGCTCCTGAGAGTGGCTCGGACCCTCGGTCACTGCCTGGTGACTCCTGTCAGCCTCTTCTTAAGCCATGCACTAATGCAACCCTGTCACGTTTTTTCCAGTCCTAAGGACCCTGTCTCCAGGAGGGTGCCCCCTCGCCACCGCCTCTACCTGGAATACTTCTTGACCCACACCTGGCATCTCATGCCCTCACCCTCCATCTGTGCCGCTTGTTTCCGTTGAGTCACTGCCCAGGGACTCTGACTCTGGAAGCTGTCAGGCAAGGTGTGCAGATGCCTCGCTGTACCATGGTAGTGAGAGTGGCATCAGGAATTGCACTATCCCATCCCCGGCCTCATTTATGACAGACATCGTCCAATATCTCATCAGCGTTCTGATTGTCTCATAAAATACTTCTAAATTTTTAATCGCCATAGTAATTGCACATGTTTATTGGGTGTGGCTGCACACACCTATAATCCCAGCACTCAGGAGGTCGAGACAAGAGGGTATCTACAAATTCGAAGCCAGCCTGGGTTATGCAGCGAGACCGTATCTCAAAAAACAAAAAACAAAACAAAATTTCCTATTGAACTGTTTGTATATCATGCATCCACAGTCTGTTCCTTACCACAGTGGCAGAACCACAAAGCCGTGGCTGCCCACAGACAGGGATGCACACGCCTCTCCACAGGCCAGGCCTGCCCTGAGTTTACCACAGCTGACATCTCACTCACGCGGCGTTGCCCTCCAGCCTGATGCACCACAGATGTGGTCATTTATAGCACGATCTGACCACAAGACAGGGCTCTTCCAGGGCTGGCCAATCTTCAAGGGCAGGCAGGGCAAGGCTATGTGACCTGCAGGTGGCAGTTCAGGCCCCATCCCACCAGACCTTGGAGACATCTCAGCAAGTCCTGGTGAAACACTGAGTGAAATGTTTGTGCCTTTGCAGATTTACATCCCTAAGAGACACCCTGTACCCAAAGCTGGATCTAAATTTAGGTGGGTGCTGAGATCCTCCCCCTCTTAAGATCCTCTAAAAATAGCTTCCCTGTGACTTAGGAAATCTCTCTTGTTCAGGAATACAAATATGCTCTGATCTGAATCCAACAGGAAAGCACGACAGGCGGGGAGAAGAAGCTGGTCTCTTAAGTGGGAGTGGATGGTGAGGAGCCATCCGAATCCCACTCCTTGCCCCCTAGCAGGGAGGTGGTGTGGCTCCTCCCCACACATGCACTCGCATGATACTTGTGCCTGACAGGGGGACTTCACCCTTGAGATGCAGTGACAATAGAAGAAGGCAGGTTTCACACGCCTGGGATACAGAAAATGCTGCAGAGAGAAAAATACCGAAAACCTTAGAGAAGAAGGTTTATGGAGTTACGTTGCCATGGTGGCAGTTGATTGAACTCCATCTTGTTCCGAGAAACAGTCTCCTTGTGAGAGTGTTGCCATGGAAACCAGATGCGATTAAGTGGTTTATTGGATGTAGCTGTCATGGACCAACCTTCTAAGGCTGGGGCTTCAGGGTGCACCCTGGCTTTCAGGTACTTTTCTCTGGCACATGTATTTTCAGAGCACTGCTCATGAACACCTGAAACAGCTGAGATGAAATGAGCCTCTGTCTGTCAATTTTTGTTATTTTGTCAGGAACAATTTGGCACACCTGGTGGAGGAGGCTGGGTTGCTGATAATGTGCACGTGTTGAATTTCATCTCACCATGTAGAAAGGAGTCCTTGAGTGATCACCAAGGCCAGCCTTGAGCTCAGCCTTTCCTCTCTCCTGACTGTGGGTTCAGAAAAGCATTCATCATCTTGGTGAGTTCTCTGTAAGCTTTCCAAGTTCCGCCTGTTCCTCATTTGTTCAGAGCGGACAGTTCTGTGGTGAGAGCCTGACCAGACAACGTGTCTCCTTAACCGCGCAATGAGGTGTGTCGCCAGGGTTTCCTCCTGCATCTGGCCTGCGTGGCTGCTCACCGGACACGTGGATGGGTGGCTACTCCTAAGCAAATGTGTGTCTGGGATTCTTTTCAGAAATGCCTGACAGCTATTGAAGGTGACACACACTGAGTGGTTAGCAGCTGGGAGAGAGCTGGAGCAGAGGCTCAGAAAGGCCTGAGCTCAAAGAAGCAAGGAACTTAAGCTGGGCATGGCGATGCAGTCCTGTAATGCCAGCACCCTGGGAGACTGAGGCAGGATTCCAAGTTTGAATGGGCTGGGATACTAAGCAGGAGCCTGGGTCAGATGAAAACAGGGGCTGAGGGTGGAGCTCAGTAGAAAGGTTTGGTCCCTGTACTGCAAAAAATAAAAAGAATAGAAAAAAAAAAAACCACAGGAATCTTTGTCCGTTTTATGTTGCTTAAAAACACATTCTAGGCTGGGTCAGTTGTGAAAAGGAGAGAGTCAGCCATGCACAGCGGCACACATATGTGACCCCAGCCTCTCCAGTGTGCCCCTCCTGTCTCCTCTTCATGTCTCATTTTTTTTTTTTTTTTGGTATCAGGAATCAAACTCACAACTGTGTGCTTGCAAAGCAGGCTGTTACCTGCAGCCTGCAGTGGTTTTTCTTCCTCACAGCTGCTCCCCTGTGGCTGAATACACAGCCCCTGGTTTCCTCTCCAGGTCAAGAGGGCTTCTTCTCCAGGCGCCAGGCTGAGCCTGCTTCCTCCTGAGCTCCCTGCAAACACAGTGGGGACTGTGGGGGACGCTCCCACCCACCCTGCTCCAACTCAGGCCACCCATTGTGTGCCCAGCAGGCTGGGCCTCAGTTGATCAGGCCTCAGTCCGCCTCCTCCTGCCCAGCCTGGAGCTTTCCTCCTCCACCTGGGGTTGTCTCAGAGCACTCCTGAGGAAAGCCCCATGTAAAAGTCCATCTGTGAGTCCATTTCCCGATGCAAACTCCCTTCAGTGAGATCCTTTTTCTATGCCTGCTGTGTGTGCAGTTTGTAGTTGCTTGAGACAGGGTCTCAGATACGCATTTCAGGCTGGCCTTGAGCTCACTTTGTAGCCCAGGCTGATTTTGAACTCAAAACGATCCTCCTGCCTCCGTCTCCCGAATGCTGGGTTACAGGCGTGAGCCAGCACGCCCAGCTCCTGCAGTGCAGTGACTTATTTCACACTCACTCCAGGCACAAGCGCCAAGGCAGGCCCACCTCCTCTTTCATTCCTGGCCACGCTGATTTCCTAATTAGGGTGATGGGACAATGAGAAGGTTTTGAAAAAGCAACTTTCCTAAGATTACCTAACAGCTTCCTAAGAAACACCCAGCACTTTGAGTGACTGGATGCAAATGAGGAGCCAGCTTTTGAGTTACTGAGGACACCTTGAATGACAAGGAGAGAACATAACCAATGAGGGGGAGAGAAAGTTAGTATGATCTCGAGGTTGGATGGATCAGCTCAGAGCACCCTGGCCCAGCCACACCATAGCCATGGAACGCCGGATTTCTCCAGGTACGACCAATAAATTCATTTTGTGATTTAAATCATTGGCAAGGTCTCCTGTGAAGTGATACTGTAACCTACCTCATGGGAATGTTTCAGCAAACACATTTTCAATTCTCCTAACACATGGGAGATGTCCTGTGAATATTTGCAATGCCTATGGTTTTCTTCCTTCCATTTTTCAGTTTTTTGACATAGGGTCCCACTATGTAATTCAGAGTGGCCTTGAACCCACTGGTAGCCCAGGTTGGCCTTAAACTCTCAGTGATCCTCCTGCCTCAGTCTCCCAAGTGCTGGGATTGCAGATGTGTGGAAAACTTGCAATCCCACAATTTCTGTGGTTTTCAAAATCCACAGCTTGCTCACACAGTGGATTTTCTTAAAGATGGGCTCCTAGGAGGTACAAAGGTTCTTGGAAATAACGGCTTTTCCTTCAACCTGTATTTTGAGATTCAACCCAGTGCTGAAGATTTCAAATAATATTTAAGCAGTGCATTTTGTTTTGATTTGGTTTTTTGAGACAGGGCCTCACTATGCAGTTCAGGCTCCCCTTGAACTCACTATGTAGACCACCTAGGCTGGTCTCTAATTTGCAATGATCTTCCTGCCTCAGCCTCGCAAGTGCTGGAATTAGAGGCATGCACCACTGTGCTCGAGAAGAAGTAGTATTTTTGACAACTGAAATCTCATGTAGAAACCGTAAATATGGAGCTGGGTATTTGGCTCAGTGGTACAAGTCCCTGCCTGGCAAGTGCAAGGTCATGAGTTAGATACCTGGTACAAGAAAAAAAAAAAAAAAAAAGAAAGAAAGAAAAGAAAGAAACCATAAATATATCTGGGAGGCTGAGGCAGGAGGATTGCTGTGAGTTCAAAGCAGCCTGGTCTCCATAGTGAGCTCAAGGCCAGTCTGAACTACATAGCAAGACCTTGTCTGAAACCAAGAAAGAAAAAAAGAAAAACATAGATGTGTATAAGCACCACAGTAGTGGAAAAAAGCATATTGCACACTTACCACATGCCAGATGCCATGCTCAGGACTCACCCTATGAACACGAATTCACTGAGAACTTCCCACGGCCTGGAGACGGATGCCGTTTCATCTCTACCATTGCTTTTTGTGACCCTCTTCAGTGTGCTCCCAGAGTACAGAGAATCCCATGTGGAATCTGATGACTGGTTCCGCATTTGTTGTTGGGGACCACAAACTCACGCATACCTCCCTAAGGGACGAAGGGAGGCTCAGGATTATTGGACTCACCCTTTGGAGACTTGCCATTATCCCATTAGGTGGACTATCCTCTCCCTGCACTAAAACTATGACTAACACCCTTTAGGGTGAGACCCTCACTGGTGTAAAGTCACCACAGCCCTCTGAGCCCTTGGATAACCCTCTCCTCAGTGCCTGCTGAGGTGCCAGCTGTCCACCTCAGGGCCCCCTGCTCCTGGTCCTTCCAGACCCCTGCTATGTGTGCTCTGTCCTTTCCGGTCAAGTGCAGTACCAGTACCGTGGGAGAGAGACCAGAACCTGCCACAGGGGTCTCCAACAATTCACTCTGAATAAACTTACTCTGGATACTTTAGATCCAGGCTTCCGGTCATGAGACTTTTTTTTTCCTCCCATAAAGCAGAGCATAAAATGCTTTTAGTACGCACAGCCCAAAGTAAAACCACCCATTCATACCCACCACACCCCACAGACACACACATCCGTCTTGAGCTTAGTGGGGCCCCTGTGTCGCCAGAGAGCCTGGCAGCTCCGTCACAGACCTCTTTCATCTTCCAAAGAGGCGGGGGAGACACGATCTGAAAGGAAAAGGGGAAGCCGGGCAAGGGCAGGCATGAACACTGCCTCACACTGTGTAGGAGGGTGGAAATTTGTATTCCGAGCAGCTAATGAAAGATAGCACAGGGCGTGTTTGAGAAACACCCCTCTGTCTCCTTTGGGGTTTAGGCTGCTCTAAGAGTCCCCTGTGGTTGGAGACATTGATTCAGGGTCACCCCGTAGGGATCCCTGTGTGTGCTGCACCCCTGGTCCAGGCTGCCGAGAGCCTCCCTGGCCCCGTCCTTAGGTTTCACCCCATACCACATCCATCAGTTTCAGGACAGGGGTTTCTCAGGCAGGGACAGGGACAAGAACTCCAGACCAAGTATGCTGGGCCAGGGCCAGGGCCAGGACCACGGCCAGGGTTTGGATGGGTTGTTGAGCCCTCAAGACAGTGAAGAGGAACCTAAGGTGAGCAGAAGAGGCAGCCAACCAGGCTTAGGAACTGGAGTGTGCCAGCAGAGCTCCCCAGGAGAGAACTGAGCTTTTTGGAGTTTCCCTTCAACTGGAGGAAAATTCTCACATGGCTTCCTCCGTATGGGCTTTGAGTTTTCCTGTGTTTAAGGGAATCTGACGCATCTGTGCACTTCGTGCAGTGTGGGTGGAAGGGACTGGGGCACAGGCCACGAAAGGGGGTGCAGGACAGAGAAGGGGGCCAGGTCTCAGATCTGGGGGCTGGCAGGGCCCAGCATGTGGGTGACAGGAGCCCCCAAGTTCCCTTAAATAACAGGAAGTGCGGCCCCTAAGGGATCTAGAGCACAGAGCTTTGGGTTTAGGAGGAAGCAGGGTCAAATGAGGTTTTTTTTCCCATAGCAGATGGTAATCCAAGTCCATTCCAAATACTTCTATGTGGAACTGGAATATTTGCTATTTCCTGTGGTACAAATGTAAGATTGTGTCAGTGGATATTACACATATATGTCACCACAGGAAATGTGTGGATTTACTAAATATTTGTCCTGTTGATAAACAGTTGCTACCAACATCAGCCTTGAGTTTCTTCCTGGGTTGGGGTAACTGCCAGGTATACTACAGAATAGGAAAATTTAAGTCCTTCCCTTCAAATTTCCTGCCTAAAAAGTATCCCTGGTGATGATTTTCTCATTGAATCATTTGAGAATCTAGAAAAAGTCTATTCTTTTATAAACCTGCAAATAAAAGACTAAGGCTAGGCATGGTAGTGCACACTTGTAATTCCAGCACTGGAGAGGCTGAGGCAAGAGGATCCCCGTGAATTCGAGGTGAGCTAGGGCTATACAGTGTGTTCAAGGCAACCTGAACTGCACAGCAAGAGCCTGTCTCAAAATAAATAAAATAAAAACAAGACAAAAGATTAAGGCCATTGTGTCCTCTCTCACATGGGTGGCCACCCTCATCCTGTAGGGTGTATTTCTTTTCCTACTTTTATGTGACCCATACTTGCTCGGCAGAGCCTGTTTCTTTTCCCACCTTTAATAAACTTTGCCATTGTTAAAAAATGACTAAAAATAAAGTAAAATAAAAGATCACACTGAGGACCGAGTATGGTGACACATGCCAGTAATTTCATAAATAGGAAGGCTGAGGCAGGAGGATCACCATGAGTTTGAGGCCACGCAGGTTCTATAGGTTATGTATATTCAAGGCCATCCTGAACTACATAGTAAGACTTTGTCTCAAAAGACCAAAAAAGGAAAAAGGAAACAAAGGTCAAGTTGGGCATGATGGTATGGATCTGTAACCCAGCACGGTGGGAGGCTAAAGTGGGAGGATCACAACCCTCCCATCTTAGGGTTAGGAGAATTTGAGCCCAGTCTGGGCAATCTAGCGGGAGCCTGTCTCAAAATTGAAACAAACAGACATAAAATAAAAAGGGCTGTAGTTCAGTGAGAAGGCCTTGGGATCAATCCCTAGTAATACACACACACACACACACACACACACACACACACATGAAATTAAACATAAGAATGACTTATGCTTTTTAAAGTGAGCTTGGGAGGTGACCCCAGAGGCCCCTGCAGTAAGCCCCTGGGCTTATATGTGCCGCTTCCCCTGCAGTAACTCCCAAAGGGCAGTGTTAGA